CAAGCGGAGCCGGCAGGAGCCGGCCTCGGCGAGGTCGTGTCGAGCTGGGAGAGGAGCTGAGAAAGCTGCGCCCTTGGGAGAGACGGGCTCTGAAAGGAACCACAAAACTACGGCAAATGCAGCGCCCAGGAGGCAGCTGTTGTACGGGCTGACAAACACCGTGAGGCTACGGCTGCAGCAGACCAACCCTGGCATGCTGATAGTTCATGAAAGGAGGGAGCGGTATAGAAAAAAGCAAGTGGAGGTGCTGAAGGAGAAGAGAAGCCCTTTATCAAAGAAAAAGCGGCTCAAAGATGCTGGAGAACAGCACCTGGTTTCTTACAGGCACTGTAGCAGAGGAGATGGTTTAAAGCAGAATAACCAGTTTGATGAAACTGTTGAGACTTCATTACAAAGCAATGTTCTCAAAGAATACTCTTCCACTACAGGAAACGTGTCCCCTGACCTGCAGGAACGGTCTGTTCACAGTCGGTTGAGGAATTACGAAACTGCGCGTGAGGAACATCCATGTGAAGTAACTACAGCCCCCTTAGGGCTGGAGGAAGCAGCACTAAAATCTGCTCGCACAGAAAAGGATGTGAAAGGCCAACTCCTGGCACCTTTCAGATCAGATGCTGATGCAAAGGAAAGTAATGATCGTGAAGCAATATGCTTGATCCATCACAAAACCACAGAAACTGATAACACTTCCATTGTAAGTGATCATAAATCCAAACCAAGCCCTAGCAGGAGTGTTGAAAGCAACTCCAAATTCATATACTCAGATGACTTTGTTGCTAGCCCTGAGAACACAGTTTATTCAGAAGATATCAGCAGCATTGACTATACAGGCAGAGGCTCAGAAACTTTTGACAGCAGTCCTGAACCTCCGTGGCTCGAAAGCCCAAAGCAAGCGTGTTCACATTCAGAGTCGGAGTCCAGCAGGTCCAGAATTTCAAAGAGAAGTCAAAGAGCTGAAAGTACTTCAGCTCTTCTGCCGGTTCCTTCAGCTTCATCTCCAGTCCGCTCTCTCAAGAGAAACTATGACGTGAAAACCAGCGAGAGAACTAGTGGTGAAGCTGTTGATTTACTCAGCAATGATACCTCGTTTCAAGCGAGGTTATTACAAGAAGAGCAGGTAGCCCACCAGATCAGTGAGGAAGAGAACAGAGCTGATCAACATGTTAAACAAGCATCTACACTGAGAAGCAAAGAAGTTAGCTCTGATACTGATCTGAACATAGGAAAGGGGCAGACTTCTATAGAGAAAAGCCAATCGCTAACTCAGGCTAGCTCATATTTGCCATCTAACATTTCTGATCTTGAACTTAGTGCCCTGGAAAACAGTATGTCAGACAAAGATGATGATTTTTTGGAAACACTGAGCATTCCTAACCAATATAAAGACATCAGTGAACTTGTAATAAGCAAGCTTCCTGGGTATACAATGTAATTACAAGTTTTCCCTGTCTTGATTAAAGTATGATATTTATATTTTTATACGGACTGTTACATTTAGCTACAATTTATACATGTTAATTTGAGAATGTATCATTCACATTTAATACATCGGTGAATTTGTTAATGAGTTTTTAAAATAAACTACATTGAATAGCTATTAAAAATGGCTCTAAGTGGTACCTATAGCATGATTTCAGTGTTAGTATCCTCATTCAAAAGTAGTCTAAACAGCACAGGAAAAATAACATTTTCAAAAGCAGAATTTAAAACAGAAGCCGCAAATACGGTACCTGCAAAACTTGTCTAAGGCAGAAATAACAACATATTACAGAAACAGCCAAGTACAAATACATTCCTAATGAAAAATTAAGTTTTTATCCCTCGTGTAAATAGTTCCACACTTCATTTGCATTACAAGTGTATGTACTTAATACAGTCCCTGCCAGTAACAGCACAGATTTCTTTCAGCTAATCTGTATGTGTTTGACTGTTCTATTACTAAACATAATGGTTTCAGAGCTGAATTTTTTTTTAGGTTAAAGTTTCTCATTTAGGTCAGACTTTCACAATTTATTACAAAATAGTTATGACCGTAAATCTATATAATCTGGGAGAGTTTTGAGAGGTTGATGGAAGTTACTTGACCTTGAAGAGTAAGGGTGTGCAGAGAGTAGGACAGAGACCACAGTAAATTTTCAACGCCTCACAACTCCCTGATTGCATTCTCTGACACTGGAGAAGTGGGGAGGCGGGTCACGACCCACAGTCAAGAAGCTCCACACAGACGTGACGTGCACGTCACATCTTGATTTAGAGATTCAAGTTAATGAAGAATTTGCCACATCTCCTTTTCTTGTTCTGGTTGAACTACCATCTGATGTTCACTTTTTATTTCTGGTTCACTTTTTATGACTTCCATTTTGATCACTGAACTTACAACTTTTCTTCTGTTTAACCACTGAGGTTTTTTAGAGTCTGTTTCAGAGATGTTCTTCAATTTGAATCTGAAGGGATTGCTCCGTTGTCTCTTTTCTCAGCTGTGTTTTCGCCAACTTCACTTTCCTGATTATCTTATTTAAAATGTTTGTCTTCAACATTGTTAAACAATATGCTTACCATCTCATTTTCTTTTTGTCCTTGACTTTTTCATTTCTCACTGGGTCCCTCCATCCTTCATGTACTCTTTGCAAGAATCTGTTTTTACACTTTTACAGACTGGCCATTTTTTTTCCCATCCTACTGTATGTTTATTTTGTACGAATGACAGTACCTTTCCTATTTAAAGTATTAACATGATCTGTTAGGATTATTCAAATATCTGCTGCTGACTTCTGAAGAGGACACTACCAGTATTGTTAATTTAAAGGAGGTAAGCAGCTAAAAATACCTGTACATCAAAGGAATCTCTGGGTAGAGCAGTTCTAAAATGTTACTTAGGTTGCATCCGTTTCATCAGCTCCCAGTCCCAGACGAAAAGATTTCTTTCTTTTTTCTCCTTATGCCATGATCCTCTTTAGCACACTTGGATTCACAGTCATTTATATATATTGCTGTAATTCCAATTTTATTGATGGGAAAAGTTCTGTGCACTTCTTACGGGTAAAGCTGTCTTTGAAATACAATGCTGCAGGAGTTGGCCCAACCATCTTTATGAGGTGGCTGTTTAATGTTTACAAAATATGATTTAAAATCAACTTTTCTTAAGTAATGATGATCTTCAAATCCTAGACTCTTAGTGTTAGTAACTCACTTAATCATCCCACAGTGGGTTGAAACTCGAGACAAATTCCTATTTTTTCTTCCCTCCCCTTTCCCATCTTCACTTTTCAAATTCGAGCAGTAAATATGATAGGGACGGTATTTGTTTTGTTTAAATAGTGAAACTGAACAATCTTCTCATCTAATTTTATTTGGGATAACATCTATGATGTTTATTGCTTAATAGCATTTATAATTTTTATCTGGAAAATGATGAAAGTAAAAGAAAATGTAATCCAGCAAGACAAGAGGAGATATTACATGAAAACAGAATGTCAGCTTCATGCTTACATGTTTTAGTCTGGTTTTGTCTTTTTAAACATAGACTCCAGGTAGTTATGTTGCATGGAGAGGTTAACAGCTAGTTTCTACCCTCTGGGATAATAATATTTTCAGATATTATCATCTGTGTTGTTTTGAGAATAAACAAAGTTTTATTTAATGTTCATACAAGAACTATCAGTAAATAAAAATAGGAAAGAACTTACAGTCACTGGTTTATCACTGAAGGCTCATAAACCAGTGTATTCGCAAGCAGTACCTGCTAATGTCAAGACGACTCCCTATCTCAACCCAGCAGAGCAAAATAGATATTAATATTGGTATAAAACATGAAAAAAATGCCAGCAACAAATTCCATTCTACATTTAACTACATTATATTAGCTAGGCATTTTTATTACGATAACTTGCGATATTACGATAACATGTACTCCTGTGATCAAATGGTTAACATCAGAGGTTTAATAAGAGGTTTCTTTACCTTAATGGAAGCATTCAACCAATTTACATCAATACATCATTTCTACACTGTAAGGGCTAAATTGCATGGATTATGTTTGTGCAGCTGATGCTGGGAGAGGCAAACAACAGTAGCATGTCTCCCTCATTTCATGTGCATCCCAAAAGCGGCCTAGATAAGTAGTTTCTGACCTCAGATTATAGGGCTGTTTTTCAGATGCCTCATAGGCACCCCAAGAAGCAGGCCCGTAGTTCTCCTCTCCTTGCTGTACTCAGCAGTAGAGCTGGGGTGTCAGAATTAGGTAGCAGGAGTAAAAAGAAGCGTCCATACTCTCTCTGGTAGTTCTGCACTACTTTTCTGCCCTAAAAGGCCTTATATAGTGCTCAGATAAAGTCAGTGCATTTGAAACCTGCTTTCCTAGAAACATCTCACCTAAAATTACTCCCTAAAGACTGCTTCATAGGACTAGAAAAAGAGAAGATACGAGAAGAATCAAATCCTGTGCTCCCACCATACACCAGAACCTTCATTTGAAAGGTCAGCTTTCTGAGTAAGCACAGCTAATTTTTCTGTGTGCATTCAATGCCTTGTTCTCTGTCAGAGTTGCGGGGAAGATTATTAATTAGTAGTACTCATTACAGTGTGGGCCCTGTCCACTGGGAGAGTGGCGTAAAAACAAACTGGTTTCTAACTGGCTCCCAGCTATCTGCTCATAAGAGCTTGTGATTGTCACCACCTGTTTGGATTCATACCAGTAAACTGAAGGTTGAGCAATCCCTGTAAACACACGATCCCTGTTATAGATTTGTTACGTGCCTGAGAGAGCAAATAACTAGTCACCATGTAAAGCATAACATAAAAAAATTTTTACTAAAAACCACCTATTTCCTAGCTTCCAGTAGCCTTCAGAGATTTCACATACAGTCATATTTTGACTGAATATGCTGTAGCTTTCATTTCAATCTCATTGCTCCACACCTTTAAGTAATGAACTATAGCCACTTCAGACTCGAGTTTTACATTGTTCTTAGTTACGCTTTACTACAGTGAAATTAAAATGTGAGATGTAATTTCCTGAACTTATTATAGCTCATCTGTAAACTAAACCATCTGGCTTCTTACTTTTAACTTGCTACTCTAACATCTGATCTGTTCCCAAATGTCCTCCAAAATTTAGAACCTTAATACAATAGAGTCTGCTATGACTGTATTTTAAACAAATATTTCAGCATGCTATTTATTCAAATAAATTTATAGAGATAGTAATATATAACTGATGGTGAGGTGAGAAAAGGAGAATAACAAATGCTGACGGTTTGGGTCATTTACTTACTCTTCTCCTGTACAGTTTTTCTGCTGTTATGTAGCTCTGATCAATCTTATTACTCATTCCACTATTCTTGTGTCATTGGTGGCTAAGAACATTTTCCGAGAAGTCCTAGCCTGGCAACAGTTTCCTGCATTTTAAGTTTTTCTTCATCAGCTCTCAGCACTCTGGTTAGATGATCCCATTTCTTTTCTGTTTGTGATTTTTCTGACCACGATTCCTAACACTCATTTTACAATTTGTAATTCCTTCATCATTTTGGAAGTCCTTTTCCTCGATTTTCTGAAATCACTTCTAGCCTTGGCAACTCTGAAGTTAAATTTTCGGGCTGAGTTATGAATTTTTTGTCACTTCAATTTTTCTAGGTCCTAGTATTTTATGATGTCTGGTTTTCTAACTATTCGGTTTCTCTTTGCCTATGCACTACTCAGAGTTAAATGCTAGCCATTATTTGGAAATCCTTGGGACTTTGCTTTCCTTGTCCTCAGCATTTGTCACCAGCAGCTGCTTTACTGCTTGTTCAGCTCTGATTCTCTAGAAATAAGTCAAATCATTAAATCTTACAATCACATCCTTAAATGGTTTTGTTGACTTTTACATGCAGGATCTTCACCAGCTCCTGTGAAACGTAACACTGCCCATTCAGAGCTGCAGAAGGACCATTCAGAAGCCCAGTGTTCACTGGGCTGTGTTTATGGGACATCAGGTTTCTCTCCCTCTCCCACACTGTCCTGCCTTCTCTAAAGTTTTCCATTTGCAAAATAACCTTATTTTAGGCGACTGAGGCCATCCCTGTGAGAACATATGCTGGCTTTACTGTAATACGCCTTTTAGAGCTAATGGCAATCACATCTGCTATAGATGATGTTAGCAACCAGCTAGCTACTGGCACTTTCCCTCCTCCCTTTTAGTCAGTGTAGTATTTGATTTCAATTTCAGTTTTGTTTCCAAGAATGCACATTCAAGTACTTCTCTCATTTTAAATTCCTTGTATAAATGTGTATCTGTTTTTGTTTTGTTTTTTAGTTACCCAGCTGAACTTCCCTGCCTTTTGCTTTTTCGGTGCTGACATTCATCTACATTAAACCGGTTTTGTTTTGATTTTTATTATCTCAGTTAATCTCTGGAATTCTTATCTGAATTTTATATTACAATTGTAATAGAACCTCCTCCCCACCGCCAGCTTTACAAAATTGCTTGCATCTTCCCAGAAGATCAATCTGTGCTTGCTGTTGGGTTGTAGAGGATGGATTTGAATGTCTCATGCTGTAGAAAACAGTATTAATCTTCAGTTCTACAGAGACCTCTGCAAGTGATTCACTTCTGAATTGTTTAAAAAAAAAAAAAAAAACAGCCTCATAGAGGAAATGTTTAACTAACATCTGAGATAC